TATCTCATTGTGCTATTTTTATGGTTTTTTTTTTATATAATACTTTATATAATATATTATTAATGTATAACACATACGCATATAAATTTATATCTCAATCAAATAAATTAGGAAATGAGTTTTTTTTTTAATATTCGGTAAAAAAACATTTTTATTTTATTTATTTTATTTTATTTTGAAACAACAATCATACAATTATACATTTAACATTTAACAATAATCATAACAATCGATTATGCACAAATAAAATTATTGCGCACATTAAAATAAATTTTTTTTTTATAACCCAAAAAAAAAACTTTAAAAGGGAAAATCATAGTTATTTTTTTTTTTAAGCGGTAAAAAAAAAAAATTTTTTTGTTTGTTTCATCGTTAGAAAGTTCTTTGTTTCTATTGTGAACCTTAAAAAAATTATTTAAAACCCGTAAAAACCCTGCGAATGATTTACTTTTTTGATTTTTACCTTTGAAGAAAAAAAATATTGCGCCGATAAAAATTTTTTTCTCTTCTTCTAATTTTAGAATTTTATAACTTTTTATGGTTAAAATATTTTTATTTTCATTCAATTCATTAGTAATTACCTAATAAAGAATTTGATGACAAGAGAAAATATTTTGAGTAAAAAGTAATTTAAATTTTATGCATCTTTTTTTTTGGTCTTAAAAATTTTTTTTTGGGGGTTTTGAATAAAAAAAATATTATCTAAATTATTGTTTGCGAAATTTGCACAACATTTTTTTTTTTTAAAAAAATTTATTAATAATGTAATACGAAGGACGGCTCTATGGTAAAAAGGTAAATAGGAATGAAAAAAATAATATAACTCTCCTTTAATGGGTATTAATTTTTTGCAAAACATTGAAAAAAACATTGAAAACATTGAAAACATTGAAAAACAATAGGTATTTTTTTTTTTTACCCCTTTAAAAAAAACAAAATATAATAAATGATTTTTTTTTTTAAAAAAAAAAAAAAATTATGCAATACATTAACGAATTATTTCTTTGTATAACAAAAAAATG